GAGAAGTCAGACGGTGCGGAGGATGAGGAGGGGGGAAACGAGGGAGACGACAGCGGTCCTTCCCGCGGGCAGTCGCAAGACACCGACGAGGACGACAACAGCGACGGCAAATCGGCCAGCCAGAGTACCGGCGAAGACCGGAGCGCCGCTTCGGAAGGAGATGATTCGCCATCTCCTTCGAAGACGCTGCGCAGCGAAGGAGAACGGCAGGCACGCAATGACAGCGACACCGAGGAGCCTGTCGGTGACAGACAAATCGTGCAGCACGTGAGCGCCACTGGAAAAGATAAAAAACCCGCGTCGCACTCGCTCCCCTCCCACTCACGAGCAGCTAATCCACTGCCCCCACGGGGCGCAAACCTTCACGCACGGAAAAGGGTCTTAGTGAACGCACTGTTGATAGCCGAATCTTCCAATTACCAAGTGCCGTATTCAGAACAAGGCGCCGAGTTGCTAACACTATCCTGTGCGTTGTGTCTTGTGTTTCCCTGCCCATCGCAACGTCAGGAACGAAAGCGCGCGCAAGGGGCATAGCCGTGCAAGGACCCAACGAGGAGGGCGCTGTATTAGCGAAGAAAATGAAGGGCAAGCTGTTGCGTTCCGTCGCCAAAGCCTTTGCGTTCTCTTCGGCAAACGACGCAACTCTGTACCCTACAGAGGACACGTTTTTCGCGGCGGTGCAAGCGACGGTCAAACTGGCAGGGGGACAGCAGAGGAAGGGTTGCGGTCTCACATTGCAGAGCGCGGGATTCGAGCTGTCATAGGGAAATGCAACAGAATTATGACGACGATCCGCGGAGAGATTACCTCGCAGCTGAAGCATTGGTTCTGGGCAAAAAAAGGGATTCCGCTGGTCGGATCGCAGCAATCGGACCACCACCTCCCCGCTCGCAACAAGATGCGCGCCGAGATGAAAGAGAACAAGACATGGAGACGGAGCGGCGACGATCCGTGGGGCGCCCCCGCCTTCAAGACGGCACTCTTAAAAGTTTTCCAGATGAGGAAGGAAGGACGAAACCTCAGCGTCACCCTGCAGCAACTCGCTTTCGCGGAGATGGTCATTCAATGTGAGATAGAACAGACAACGAAGACGACACGAGCTGCGTAGCAGAAAGAAAAATTGGTATCTATAAAGCAGGCAATCGTCTCATCTCTACAAGCGCGCAACACGGTAATGAGTTTTTCCGTCTTCAAGCTGGACAAATCCGTATCCGTGGTTGAGAAGGCAGCAACCCTCTTTCGCTGTGGCACGCCGGCTGTCAACAGGCCTGGCCTCCCAAGCACCACAATAACGGATGACGATTACGACGTCGAATACATTCTCCCTCAGAGTACACCATCCGGCGGCGGGGGGGCGCACACCGATAGTCTGTGCGCCGCACCCTGAAAAATTAGGGACAGTTTGGCTACATTTCAACATGGAAGGGAGGATGCTGGGAAATGACTAAACGGTGGAACGGAAGGTTCTTTTTGTAGACGTTTCGAATCAGGAGATACAAAATGGAAAGGGACAGTCGGAGAGAGAGAGAGAGAGAGAGAGAGAGAGAGACCTTCAGTTTTGCAGAAGAGAGAGAGAGAGCGAGTGCTTGCACGCACGTGCACCGCATGAGGATTGCGAGCCGTATGTTCCATACAGTCTGATAACTACACAACTTCTGTTATTTATGATACACAATTGTACAAACATTTGTATTCCTCATCTTTGTGCGATTGAGTGATGTGTGCGGCTGACTCTSTAATGGTAACATGACACGACAATGTGTTTTGTCAAGCTGTGGTGAAACTTGTTTGTTGCAGGTCAGGGCGACGTAAAATGAGGCTCTCCACGCCAAATCGCCTTATATAGAATGAGACACAGCGATCTTAGGGGCACAGAAAAGGAAGGTT